CATAGGGTCATTAAATATGAACCAAAGGTATTCATTCACAGAAGCTGTGTTCTCAGTTGTTAAATAAGCCCAGTGGGGGAATTTGAGCATTTTTCCCCTAAAACTTGTATGTTGTTTCCTATTTAATATGATCTCTGCCACTGTTGATTTGTAATCTGTGCTTTCACCCCGAAGTGCATGGGGTTGTGTTCAGATATTTCCTTCTTTAAATCAATCACTTTCACCATTTTCAAAAACACGTTTCGAGTTTATTGCTTTTAGTAAAGTGTTTGGACTGTCATTATTTATTACTGGCAAAGTGCCGATGATGTGCTCTTCCGGGATGAGTCTTTACAGGGGTATTTGCTGGGCACGGTGCGGGGCCGCGTGCTGGTGGTGCGGGGCAGTGTGGGACTTGGCTTGGCGCGGTCCCGGGCTCCGTTCTGATTGATTTGGTGGAATTTAAAGTGCTAGCCTGGAAAACCTGTGCTGCACATAATGTATCTTTTTGGATGATTTCTGCTGCTTTGCAATTCTACCCTACTGCTTCATTACCGAAGAGTTCATGGCCCCGGGAGGGCAGTGCGGGCTGCAGAAGGCTGTGCTGCTCCACCCGGAGCGCCGCTGCATGAGCTGCAGCCGGAAGGCTGAGAGCTCGGTGCCGTCCTCTGCCCGTAACAGTTTAATGGGCTACAGGTCAGACTTTCAAGCAGCATAAATTAAACTTGTTGGTCTTTTTCTGTTTGGCAGCTGTTCCATCCTGATTGCTTATAGTCTCTGAACTAAGTTGATCTCTGTACAGAGGAGCTGCAGCAGCTTCATTCACGTCGAGCCGTGCGTCCTGGCTGCCGGTCTGTGGCTCCATGCGGCCCCAGGGCTGTGGTTGTGGCACGGGACGCCAAGCCCTGCAGTCCCAGGGTGCGGCACACAGCGTGCTGCCTTGGGCAGGGTGCAGGACGGGCTTCCTCCTTGCTGCTGAGAAGATGAAGTGGTTGAATGTGAAAGTGGAAAGAATCGCTCACTCCCTTCTTCATTCTGCACGCGTTCGGGCTTTTATAAAATTTTAATCTGGCTCCACCAATTCTCATTGATTTTTGGGAAACAGGATATTTTAGTAGCTTGGAATGAGATGAAATGCTTGCAAAGCCCATATGGTGCTTGTTTTAGGCGAAGGGTCAGCAAGGTTTTAGAAAGTATTTAAATATTTGGTTTACACGATTAGAATAGATTGTCTGGAATGGAGTCCATTACCCGAGGTGGTTCCTGCCGCGCAGTTTTGTTTTTCACTGCAGTTCTTTGGGGTATGAGGTAGGTGTTCTGGCAGTGCAGGGCCTGAGCACCGTAAAAGTTAAGGGCTGTGAAGAAATGCTGTAGATGGGGTTCTGGACGCCGCCAGAGCCATAGGTGTCTGTTGTGGCGCTTTTTGCAAGCCACAGTTTGGAAAATCCATTCTGGTCAAGTGAACAGTGGTGCAGATGGCCTCCGACCCCGCAGTGAAGCACCCACAGGGCGTTGCTTAGAAGCAGGCTTTTCCTCTACCCACAGGCAAGGCTTTCGAATGGGACTGTGTTTCTTGAGAAGTACAGCCCGACTGATTCCTTGTAGGTGTGTTTTTGTCTTCAGCTTTGAATGTTCTTAATCTTTCTGTCCTCGATTTTTCATGATCTTTGCATAATCCATCCATTAGGGAAGATAAGCTGTTTATTTTGGGCTGTTCCTGTGGGGCTTTGCAGTACCTGCAGTGCCGTTCTCAGGTTCGCCCAGAAGGCACTGCTGAGAGAGGGGCATCGGCGCGGTGCGCACCCGGGTCTGGGGCTGCCGTTCGTGTTCTGTGCGGGCTGATGTGGGGCGGCTTCCGAGCCGCTGCCTGATCTCTGCTGCCTTCATCTCATCCAGTTGGAGACCAAACGCCTGCCATTATTCCTCTGCTACGTGTTGTTGATATTTTTATATGAATTATGGAGCATCCTTTGATATCTGGAATTTCCCCTTATGCTCTTTTGTTATTTTTTATGAGTACTTTCTCCCTAACTTCAAAAGCAGTTTATCACCTTCGCGCAGACAGTCCCTGATCGCTGATTTGGAGCTGTTGGCCATTCCTGGACCTGTTTTATGTGTTTCGCTCTAGAAACATTAAAAAAGGGCCATGATGTATGCAGACCTCAGACCTTTTTTGCTTGCATCCAAAGAGCCTCTCATCATGTGCTGCTTCTGGTGCTGCTGCATGTAGATGCTTTCTATTGGTTTAAAAAATAAAAGAAAGACTAAAAGTAAGAGAGCAGTTAAATCTAACCCGGTCTGAATTGTGGTGGTGTGGCTGTTTCTTCCTAAATCACCTGGAAATTATACATAGTATATAACACGTATTTTTAATCCCTCTCTTGACCTGTGCAGGAGCAGTGTGCGTTCCTGCAGTGGGCACTGCCTGCCCTCCTGTCCTCCTTCTTCTGCTGCTGTGGGACAGCAGCTCCGCAACCCCTGCTTTTGTGCAAGGGGAGGGCAGAAATCACTTTTTTGGTAGTCCAAAACGAAAAATAATTGGCACTAGGATAATTCACGTGAGTTGCCATTCCTTGACATTAGAGATTCCACTGAAGTACTCATAATTACTGTTAATATCTTTCAGTGGAAACTTTCTCAGTGAGCGAGCACTGGCGAAGCAGTATTTAACGGTGCTGCTGGCATGATAAGAATGCAAATAAGCGTTATTAGCCTAATGATTCTGCTGTCACCATGGCTGTGCAGCAGCAGTGTTGTGAATATGTCATGCAGCACCCGTGAATTTGGAAAGTGTGTCAAAACACAACTTCAATTAGTTTGCTCTAATTATGGCTCTAGAGAGTTCATATTATATTGCTTCTCGCTAACAGGGCTTTTCTTATATGGACACACACAGCACGTGAAGGGCCGGTGTGGGAGGCAGGAGGGAGCCGGGGCCGGGAGCATCCTGGGCACCTCGCAGCACATGGCCCTGCAGGGGGCTCTGGGCACAGCCTTCCGTTGGCTCCAAGAAACCACCTGGGGGCATCCCTTGGTGCTGGGGGCATCCCTTGGTGCTGAGATGGAGATCTGAGGAACGTTTGCTCTGACAAAGGAGCAGGGAACACAGGAGCAGCCATGGTGCCGTGGGCTCTGCCCCACGTGGCGTGAGCGCGTTCAGCTCTGCAGCATTGGGGAGATGCTCCTGTGCTCGTAGGTGAGCAGCTGGTGAGAGGTTAAAGCAGTAATTGTTTAAATCTTTCAGGCTTTCCTCCCAGTTCTGTGGTAATTTGATGAAGAACTTCACCCTAATTAAATATTCAAATTAGGAATAAGTGTCAATATGGCTTCCCATTGCCTGGAATGATGATTAATTGTATTCAAAACTCTAGTGGCCGCTGTAATCTAAACCAAACCGTTGTTCTTGATTATTTCTGCAACGCGTTTACCATGTTTTTGTTTTAAAATTTAAACTAGTAATTGATTTGCCATATGCCGCAGAGCTGCACATACTTTCACGATATGTGTTTAGGAACTTGGGGACTCTGTAATTGGGATTTTCTTGCTTTTCAAAGGCAGCCTCTCTTTTTCCTCTTTTTTTTTTTTTTTTTTTTTTTTGTCTTCTACAATGCAAAATGATTTGGCTTTCACAATGCATAAGGAAAATGCATTATGCAATCAACTTACTGAGTAGAAGTTATATCGATCTTGGCCAAAGTTTGCATTAATTTAAAATAGATTAGATTTTGTTTCCCATTTTTTCCCTACAATGTCATGCCTTTAAAGAAGAGGAGGAGAGGGAGAGAACCGATGTCATTGCAGCAGTCCTTACCTCTGTCTCTCGGCCATGGCCCCACACAGCACAGCCAGGGAGAGGCGATGAAACACCGCAGTGCTGCCGAGCAGAGCGCTGCAGGCTGAGCACCCACACAGCGCTCGCATGGTTGTGGCTCTGGGCCGGCAGCAGTGCTGGGCTGGGCGCCTGGTGCTGGTTGGCCAGCAGGAACTGCACATACAGGAGGGAGGAGCCTCTTGCAGCAGGTGCTGGATGAACTTCTAAAATACTCTGCTTAGAAATTGACCTTTTCCAAATAGATCTGCTCTGCTTACGTGCGGAGTGTTTGCTACTGCTTTGTTCAGGTATGACGAAATTCATCCTCTGTACCAGCAAGAGAATTTCAGAAGATCTTTCTATTGGCTGTTCTGATGCCTCAGAAAGTGCTTTTGGATGATGTTATTAAAAGAAAAACAAAACGAACAAAAAGCCCGAACAGATGAGGAGCCTGCAGTGCCCGCAGGCAGCACTCTTGTGGTTTATAGCACGTCTGTGACAAACTGCCTCTGCTGGCAGAGCCCCGTACGGATTCTGCTTTAACAGAATACTGTTTGCTAAATTTGAAATTATTTTCACACCACCTTTCTTGTTAGAAATAGCTCTGGGAAGAACAGCAAATTCAAACTGATTTTTGCTTTTTCTTATTTTATCCACACTGTTCACCATCAGCCACATCAAGATCTGAAAATATGTGGTTCTTCGCAAAATCTGGCTTCTTAATAAGGCAGACAGTTTCCAGATGATTTGCTCAAAAGATAAAACCTGCTGCCGAGAGCATGGGTCTGATTCCTCCTGGATAATATCCAGGGCTCCTGCAGCTGCAGCACAGAGCGCCGGGTTCCCTGGCAGTGGGCAGTGCTGGGCACCTGCAGGTGGGCAGCTCTGCTGGATGAGGTGATGGCCACTGCCTTTGCACTTGTGCCAGACTGAGCCCTGCTACGAGCGTTGTCATTGCACGTGGCGATGTGGTCCAGACGATGAATGATGATGTTTTACAAAAGTTCACGCGGACCTGAGATCAGTGTTAGAAAAATACGAGTTGCAGGGCACGCTCACTGCTGCCTGCAGCAAGGGTGATGGGTAGCATTTGGCTGCTCTGCAGAGGGACAGGGAGCAGGCAGCCCACCTGGGACTCCTCGGGAGCCACCTCGGCCAATGGGGGCATCTTCTGCTCTGCAGTAACTTTGTCTCCCTTTCTCTTCTTCAGGCATATCTCACTGACGCTTCCTGCTAGCTTTCGAGGCAAAAGTCACAGCCGCCTGGACTTGGAGCACCAGCACTCAAACCTGTATGCCATATCAGGTAAGCTGGTGCATGCCATGGTTTCTCTGCTTCTCAGTAACCAGAAGGTTAACCAAGTTAAAGCAGACTTGTTTGCATGAATGGCAGGTGGGTGGTGTCTCTGAAATGCACCTCAGATCTGTGCAGGTGCCATTGAAGCACTGAGCACCAGGAATGCAGAGGGACCACAAAACACCTGGGCAGGAGTGTTGTTAGTAGTGAGTGTTACTGACTGAGGAGATGGCAGCCGTCAGCGAGGGATGCAGCTGCCCACAGTGACTCCAAGTGAGAGCTCTGGTGAAAGCAGCGCTGGCACAAACTTTGCTTCTCAGCTTTTTTATGACCTTCACTGGTGAGTTGTGTCAGACATCTCAGCTCATGTCCTGGGAGGCTCATCCTGCATTGCAAAGAGGAGTTTTCATACACGCAGTTCTTTGCTATGTGCCAACATACTTATGAAAAACAAGTGATGTTAGGGCAAATTTGAAATCAGATGTGGAGGTGAAGTTAGAAAGAAATTAGAATACAGGTTGTTCTGCTCTCCATTTGCTAATCCAGGCTGGTATGCTAATGCTGGAGATGGTGATAGCTTCCAGATGCTGATGTGGAACTGCCTATGAATATTTTTGCTGGTTTTTATTTTTACATAGTCTGTAGGGGAGATGTGTGTTTAAATAGCGTGCTGAGGCTCAAGCCCAAACCTCTGCCTATGTGGGTATAGGTAATTTTTTACTGTGCTTTATGACCACATGGTGGCTTTGTTTTGGAACTGAAGTCCCTGTTGAGCTGTCCCTGACAGCTCTGCTCTTCTGAAAAGGTTCTGCCTTAAAGTGGTGATTCCTTGGAAGATGAGAATGCTGAGGACTGCAGCATGCTTCTGGGGCCCAGCACAAAGAGGCAGGGATACTCTAGAGAGCTGTGCTTCAGAGTCTCTCACTCCTGCAAGTGCTGAGAGCTCTGCACTCTGGAAGCTATTCACAAAGCACAGCAAAAGGACTTTGGGTTCTGCAGACTAAAGAAGAGTGTTACGTGCAGCTGTTGCACAGGAGTACATTTCACCTGCCTGTCCTCTTATGGGGCTGTCTTTTACTCTAGTTCAGCTAAGCAGTGCGGGAGATTTTTCTTTAAAATTAATTATTTTTGAGCACTGTTACACCTGAATAAATATTGTTATAGCCATAGTAGAAACACACTTGGTAGCAGTTTTCTCTTTGTTAAAACATTTTTGCAAGAGGAGAAATACTTGCTTTAGACCTGACTGTCAAAATCTGATGAAAGTGAGCTCCATTTACCTGGCTGGAATGGATTCTCAGGACAGCTTGGAAACCCAGAAGCAGCAGCAGTGGATTTGGTGGGCTGTACAGTAAGTGCTGCTTGTGCAGGATCATAGAAGATGGTGGCAAAAATGTTCCGTTCACAGGTCCTTTCCATTAATAGTGAGTGGCACTTCTTACATGGGAACATGGCATTAATTCATGTACCATAATCAAAGGGTTATTTAAGAGGTAATCTCTGACTGAAACTGCAGCTTCAGGTTCCTAAATAGACAGAATATAACAGTGGCATAATTCTTGTCAGTACTCGTTTTTCTTGTTACCTTCCTGCCCTAATAGGTTTAGAAATGTAAGGGGAAGCATGCTCTGTTCTCATGCTCACGAGGCCATCCTGCACAGAGGATGGCAGAGCTGTGTTTTCTCTTCTGATGCGGCATCAAAAGCACTGGTGGAAGCAGCGCTTCCGCTTGAGAGTTGCTGGGCATGACTGCCTCTGGGACTGCCTCTGCTTGCAGCATGAGCAGCCTGGAAAAACAACCCTTTCTGCGAATATCTGGAATGTCTTACAGGATAGTTATAGGCATAGCATAAAACAGACCTACAGAACTAGGCATGGCATCACTTGCACAAAGACATTTCACTCAAAGTGCATGGCTGGGTGTGTTCCCCCACACTGCACGTTCTCTGCCAGGCACGTTGTTACACGAGTTGTGCATACCGTGTTGTAATGGCTATTGCAGCTGGGGGACAATTCTGTAGAAACGCTTTTGTCATGCGAAACATCCTTTGTGTTGGCAGGGATCTTCGTTTTCACCTCTGGACTGCTGCAGCCTTGTCAGCAGCTGTGATGAGGTGGTGGGACAATTCCCTCTGCTACTTAAACCTAACCGAGGCAGATCAACCCCAAGGCATGTGGTGGAAACCATTCAGAAGTTTCCTGTTGTGTAGGAGCAATTCTCAGCCAGTCCCTTTTATCCGCGCTGCAGTGTTGGTGTCTCACTGCAGTGCCATGGCAACAGGACATTTAGGAGCGCTTCCGCACTGCTGCCCTGAGTGCTCCCAGGCCAGGGTCTGGGGGGGAACCCGGCAGTGCAGGGAGGTGGGGGGGGAGCGGTGGGGAGCAGGCCCTGCTGATGTGCACCCGAGCTGCTGGCTCCCTCTCTTGGCTCCTGGCAAAATGGAAGGCTCCTGGCTGAAGGAAACAAAAGCCATTATGGGCAGCCTCTTATTTCCTAGTTCTGGTGTCGTCTTGGTCTGAACTGTGGTAAGAAGGGGATGGGATATTTAGAGAGAGCTGCAGAGGAGCTGAAGGTCTGTGCTGTGGGCTCAGCGTTGTCCCGGCACGTGACACTGGGGAGGACTCGGCCTGTTGTGGTGAGTGAGGGGAGCAGCCTGCCCTGTGTCTCAACATATGGGTTGGTAGAAATTGCCATACCCCCACTGGAACCGTCCTATACTCCTCTGTGCATATAATGTGATTACTGTTGCAGAGTTGGAGTCGAGGAAATAATGGCCCTGAAAGCAGTAATTACAGTTTTGGCCATCCTGGTGTCATTTCCAGTCTCTGCAATTGATCATGGGTGGCCAGGGGATGTCCTGGCTGCACCACAGATGATGAACCTGCCCTTGGCAGGATGCTGAGGGGAGGCCCACACCTCCAGATGTGCAACGCAGAACTGCTGCAGGAGGAGCTGCAATAGACCTGATGCTGCTGGGATTGTGGTGCTGCAAGGAGCACAGTGCTGAGGGCTGACAGGTGTAATATGCATGTTCCAATGGGCAGCAGCTGGAAGAAGAACGAGGCTGCTCTAGGCAGTCCTATCAGCAGGCACTGCTTGGTATTTCACAGGACAGACTTTCTTCATGGCCTTCAGCTTAATTAAGATGTGACTACATACTGCCTTCATTTCAGGCTGTGGCATCATCCGGCTGCATACTGCTTTGTCTTACTGGAGCCACAAGGATGGAGGGAGAAGGGAGCACTCACAGGCAGCTGCTGATGTTAACGCATAGGGAAAATTCCTGAATGAAGTGAAAAATTATTTATAATAATGGTACTCAAATAGAAGGGAAATAAGTCACTTTAAGGGTATATAAATTTTTATGATAGTATATAAACAGCCATAGCTTGCCTTGTCTCCCATCTATCCCTGCAGAGAATGAGGGCAACATCTAGCATAAAGAAAAATATAGTAAGAAAACAAAGAAATGAATGGGAAGAGCTGGAGGATTGATCGCTTGGTGTATTTGTATATCCTGATGTAAGAGGTGCTGCTGACAGGTGGCCAGGTTTCTTCTGTACAGAACCATGTGTGTGCTGTCAGGGCGGTGCGAGCAGCCTTGTTCCGATTGATGAATTGCCTGCTTTCTTGATTAAACCTTCCGTCACTTAAGAAACAAAAAGGCTGTGTTTGGATGGCAGAGTGGGACACGTCAAAAAAATCTGTCTGCTTTACCTTTGTGCAGATGTTGGGCACAGACTGTAACATGTATTATTAAAATGAATGTGGCATTTACTGTGCATTATTTCTTTCCTGGGAGAAAGGACCTGTAAATTATATGCTAATAATAAGCTTTAACTCTTTCAGAAACCAAGAGATGCAGCAGTGTGAATATTCTTGCAGGCCTCGCTAATTGGATGGTCCTTAATGCCACTGCAGCTCTCTGAAGTTAATCACAGTGTGTGTCAGGGCAGGATGCCACTGCCTCGAGAGTCTCACCTGCAAGAAGTGCTGTGCTGTGTGAGTGCCAGCGAGCAAAGCGTGGCGGTGGATGCTGCGCTGCCGGGGCTGTGCCAGGGGCAGCAGTGCAGGCCTGCTGGCAGGGCAGGCTGTGACCGCAGCTCCCAACTTCCTGCACCGCTCCAGGTTTGGTTTTGCTTGAGTTGCTTTGACCTGCAAGCTGGGCATACGTGATCAAGTTGCCATCTCGAGAAAAGAATTAGGGGTGGAACGAGGCCTTAGCATTCCTTTTGGAGCACTGGCGGGACGTTGTTGGACACTAGCTGCTGAGCTTGCAGAATGAGGTTCCAACCTGCTCAGCCATGGGCTCTGTCTGGCCCCGTGCCTCCCGCTGTGCAGTTCCTTGCTCGTGGGGGGATGAGGCCCCTGCTGGCACTGTGCGTGCCCTGCCGGCAGCCCCAGCTCTGCTGTGAGGCTTTCTGCTGCTGGCTCCTGAGTCCTGCTACAAGGGGGTGTCTGTGGGTTCTGCTGCCCGTTCTGACTGCCTCATATACAGTGTCTCTGTGTAACTTCTGGAGTTTGATGCACTCAGACTGTCAAGACAGAAATTGCAGTGCATGAACTGTCCCATCAGAATATGTGTATACAAAATAAATAGAGCCTCTTTGACCAATCTTGTATTTGAAACAAGTGCACAAATGTTCAAATGCTGCTCCAGCTCTCACCTTCTGGGCAGGAACCTGACTTCCATCATGTCACCCTCTGCTTCTGAAGGTTGCTGCTCTGGCATTGCCTGGAGGTAACAAGGTGATCTGCTACCCTTGGATGTGACCAAGTTTCATTTATTTTGAGCATTTAAATACAGAAGCTGCACTGAAAAAAGGCAACACAAACAGTATACTTTGCTGCCTGTTAGTATATGGTGTTTCAAATGACTCTTGCTGCTTTGTGGCTTCTAGCCATGCCACTGCTGCAGCCCCTCATGCGTGGCTCCTGGAGGAGCTGAGCTGTGCAAGGGGCAGGACTGCATCATGGAGCTGCTGGGACTGGGGAGCCCAACCCCTGC